GCACTCAATATTTTAAATGTTCCAATAAAAATGATCTTTATATAATAACTTTTCATAATAATATAAGACGTACAGATTATTTATAAATAGCTTCGAGAAAATGAAACATAAAAATATTTATAATAGCAAAGATTATAGTGAAATCAGAATATAAACGATTACTTGATATTTTAAAAAAATTAAATACATTTTTCGGAAGAAAAGAAATACGAACGCTATTTTACATAAAATAGTTTACCATGAAGCCAGCAATGAAAGAAGAGAGTATGAAGGAGTTAACATTTTTGCGCGTGTTTCCGGTGCGAATACGTGTCGGAAAGAATACAAAAATATATCGATCTACAATTAAGCAGACCATAATGAAAATACTGGCGGCCGAAAAGGCGTTTAGAATAACAAGTTCAAGATGAGCATGATAGAAAGCTGATGGATAATTATTGCTCATACCATAACCCAATCTTAGCGCTGAAACATATACATTGATTGTCAGATATAATTATATATATATTGTAATATTTTATTATACATGGCCACTGTTGTGCACTGAGAAAAAAGATTAATTGCGCAATCATATATATATATATATATATAAAGTAATCGAAGAAAAAGTATATATGCTAGTACAATAATGAGCTATATCGATACAATTAATTAATTGAGACTACTATCGCGTAAACGATAATATTAATCGACAAATATGAGTTAAGTATCGTCGCGATCTAAGTTAAATAAATTAAATTAATTTGGTTTATTTGTTTGGATGTGACTGCAACATCAGTCTTGTGATTTTCGTCAGCCAAGCATTATTTTTTTTCTACAGTGCACACTGTCGGAAATCAGATTGTACAAACTGATTGTTATCCAAGACAGGATAACACCGATATGCGCCAGCGCAAGTCCACTGAGATACAGGTATGCGATACCGCGAAACAATGGGCCAGATAGCACAACAAAGATTGCCGCATTGCCGAAAATGCCGATGGTTAATATGATCGGGACTATGATACCGTAAGATGTCCACATCAAAGACATCACTTGGCTTCGAGCAATGTCATCCTCGATAGGCGTACGTTCGATAGTAAAGTTATCATCCTCGCAACACAACTGAGTACTGCAAAAAGCATATTCATTCATAGGATCTAATTGTATGTGTAAGAGTCATAGAAAAGAAACGCGCGAGCAGCAATTTTATTGCCAATGAAGATAAATATAGATTGTTAAGATCGATATTTCGCAATGAATGATGATCTTTATTTAGATCTTTAGTTATTTGAACTACTTTATTAACAATAAAGAACAAAATGATGATGTTGCTAATGAAGAATTGAGTATGAAACTGCGATATATACAAACCCGTCGATCACTCCTGTCAACATTATATGTTCCGTTGATTATTAATTATACAAAAATTATAAATAATATATATAAATTAAGATTGCCGTTAAAGAACTTGTAAGTACTGTCGATTAAGTAATCTAGAAACTTTTTACTGTTTGACGTTTTGTATTCTGCTCACGCACATCGCCGTCTGTTTCTTTTCTTCTTCCTCTAGCAAACTGTAAATCTACTTTCAATAAAGACATGATAGACTCTAACAGGTTTACCTGTGACATATCCATCTCATGGGTCTTGCTTCAGAAAAATATACTGCGCAAGCCTCGGGAAGGTAACATCAAGGTGTATAGGGGGTTTATTTAAACACGTAATAGATGATAGACTTAAACCCTTTATTAAGGTCAAACTGCTTGAACAAACAACAGGTCTATTATTAATTATTGTTTACGGTCAAATACTTCATCGTGGAGATAATACAGATTATGCAATAAAGTAAGATTAAAATGCAGTAAATCAAATTTATCGTACTTTATAAAATGTGCAATCAACATAAGTCTTTCTTTATTAAAAAGATTGTTATCTTTCGATCATTTCATTATTGCTTTTTTCTTTGTTAAAGAATAAGTTCGTTATTTTGATTATTGCAATTGATAACGATACGAATATATTCATGTTCAAATGATTCATAATTATGAATAAAGGAAAAAAAGGAAATTTCAAATTTTCCAACTTTTTCTGTTTTCCAAAAAGGAAAACTTGTGTGTGTGTGTGTGTGTGTGTGTGTGTGTGTGTGTGTGTGTGTGTGTGTGTGTGTGTGTGTGTGTGTGTGAGTGACTCGATATTAAAATTTATAGATTATTATATTTATAGATTATTTAAATTAGGTGGAAACAGAGAAAATATAAACATTTTTTTTAATTAATCCATTCCATTTAAGAGGTCCATTTTTAATTTGGAACACAGTTTTCATATTTTAGACGGATACAAATGGAGCATCTTCGAATATTCCGTAATCTTATCTGATGATTATTTGTATCCTTCCAAATAATTACGTACCTATAATATGCGTAATACCAAAAATAATAATTTCCTTTTTTATAATTTATCATTTTCCCTGCATTCATAACGACTGGAGAAAACGCATCGAAATTTTATTATTTCTGTCGATCTGTCAATGAAGTTAATTCGAGAATTAAATTTATATTATGAACTCTAAAATCTTCTTACATACTTCTTATGAATCTTTGATTCACAAGATACTGTATTCTGTCGAATATATCGACAAATAATTTCGACGTTATATCAGTTAAAATATTAAGAGAGATTAAAATTAATCGTTCGATTAAATAAACATTATCCGTGATGGATAAATTCTTGTGAAATTTGCCATTTCGTTTGAATTTTGTACTTCTAGAAGCCGTGTCAAAAAATTTAATGAATTTAAAGAATTCGGTTGTCCTAAAAAGAACTGTATAAGTGGTTATCGAATAAGCGATACATAGCGATAATGTGATACAACTGCGAGAAATAATCAGATCATTGCAGCCAAGTTTCCATCGCATCGGTTTTGAGACAGCGTGATTATTGTTAATGTTATTACAAGAGTTATAGATAATAACAAATTTGTTTATTTTCACAAAAAATATAACATATATATGTTGTCTGTAACAGACTACGGATTCCCGACCAGGACTCGATACGTTCCAAAAAAGGAGATATAAAAAATAAAAAGAATGTTCTCCATTGAATTTAATGATTAATTGAGAGTTATGAATTTTAAAAATAGTAGAACTGATATTCGGTAAACAAGTTTTCCTCGTTCAATTGTGCAGAAAGAGTCGGAAGCTCTGATGAAAGCGACGATTGACGTTAACGAGCAGCGAGACGAGGAACAATGAACGTGAAATCTCGATAGAGATTAATAATCGTGATGTCAAATTATCGGGATCGGAGTCGAAAGGCGTCGAGTGGATGCCTATCCATAGCGAGATGCGATCGATGGCCAACGCCGAAGGAGAATGTCCCCACAACGCGACGTTGGTGGTTAATCTTTCGAGCGGAAAACATTGTCAGAGACATTTCTCTCACCCGATCGCGTTTCCGCTCGGTCGATCAATAAAGACCCACCGGCGAGCGGATCCAAGACAAGGAACGATAAGGAGTTAATTGCTGTTTTCCCACGGAAACAAAATGGATTCACAATTTATTCAACATAAAAAATGAAAGCAGAGAATAAAATCTTCTTCCTGCAAATTTTTGTGCGAACAAGATTTATTTCGACGGGAAAAGACGACCCTTTTCGAACGATCGTGCTGAATTTGTTGGATGGATAGAAATGCCGAGAAATAAAGCGGCTTATAAAGACAATACGAGAAGAAGACATTGTTATAGGACGAGCAACCAAAAAAGAGGAAAAAAAAGAATGCAACGGAAAAATTCAAGAATCCCAGACGATTCAAACGAATTCTAACGCTTTTATAAAATAAAAAAAGATCCTTAAAAAAGGATCTACTAATTAATATTAGTCTAACGAAATAGAATAAATTTAACGACATAGATGCTAATATCTTTTGAAAGTCCTTGGAGGATCTTTTTAGCCAGATTGCAAAGCCTTAAAAAATTTAAAAATGTGTATGAATAATCCATAATAAATTAACAATAATAATTCACATGTTATGTACCTACAATTGATATCAAATTCGCAATTCAATTCTCCTATATATGTATATTAAAATTATAACATTATATTTCTCATATTTCTGATATCATATTATATATTAATCTCAAGTAGATTGAATATATGTTGCGCATAAAGATTTGAAACAATCAAAGTGTGAATGAAGATATAAATTAATATTATTAGAATGTTATATAAAGATTGCTAATACAATGATTATCAACTCATTTTTTTTTTACAAGTTGTATTCTAACATAGAATTGCTAATTAGTAACCAAATAAACTCAAACCAAAATAAAACGCAGACTGTGCATCCTTCCGAATCATTGAGTTTATTCACAAATTCGACAAATGAATAAGCGTATGATGGACAATAAACACGATAGGATCAATCTACTTTAAGGCGTCAAAAAAATTACTAGCTAAATTTGACAAATTATATTGATTAAAATAAATCTATTACAATACAATAAATAAGCAAATAAATGTACAAAATGTCGCTATATTCTAAATTGATACAAAATAATTGAACATTAATATAAATTAAACATAATTTTTTCCTTCCTCTCAAATTAAATATATTTATTTTAATTATATTTTTTAAATAGAATATATTTTAAATGAATATATTTTAATTATATTTTAAATATAATTTGAAACATATCAAAATATCACATTGCAAAACATATAAGAATTTTTTTCTCTCTAATTGTAAGAAGAAATAAATATAAAACTAGCTTAAGAGCTAGCTATAAGCTATAACAGATAAAATTTTTTCAAGTCGCAGTTATTGACTTATTCACTTTTGTCATGTCCACTGCACAGTGCTCGTGATCGGACTTTTAGTTGGAGCAAATTTCCTGCAGAGGCACCACAAATCACTCCGTTTCTGGATGCACTCGTAATATTTCCTGAAAGAAATCGGTTAGATGGCGTTCAAGAAAAAAAATAAAGAAAAAGCTGTATCTTCTCACGCATATATATTTTGAAAATAAACACCTTACATATGAAAGATATCTATACATTCACCTGTATTATCTGAATGAGAAATGATTGTCGATAATTCGTAAGTTGTCACTTTAATTTGAACTGTATGCACAGGCTTTCGTCATTAATTAAATGAATGGGCTAATTAAAGACATTATTTTTTGATAATTGAAAAAAAAAACTTATGTGATAATATGCGTAAAATAAAAAATAACTGATTAAACATGGAAATTTTTATTGTAGGGAGATCTTGAGGAAGAGAAAATTTGCACGGATTATTAAGCAGAAATTTGGCTGACAAAATGTGCTGTTATTTGTTAGAATATTACTTATTCCATCTTTATTTTCAAAGAGGTCGTCGTGCTATATCAAGAGTCAAATTAGCATATGTGCTTTGTGGCTTTGGCATGATAGCACTACTAGAATTTTTTGGAGCATTTGTGCACATATTTGAGGTCACGTACGATGAAAACTTTGTATATCCATACGAAGGCAATGTACATGAATTTGTGAATGCTTTGCGACGTAATGAAAAACCTCAAGTCGAACCTATAAATGAGTATAGATATGCTTTTATCTTAAAACAGCCACAAAAATGTAAGGAAAATGCAGACGATACGCTTCGACTTGTATATATAGTAAAATCAGCTATAGAAAATTTTGATAGAAGAACTGCTATACGAAATTCGTGGGGAATCGAAAAGAGATTCTTTGATGTGCCAACGAAAACTATTTTTATGGTGGGTACGCATCCGGATGACCAAGAAGTTGAGGCCAAACTAAAGCTAGAGGCAGGGATTTACAAAGATATCGTGCAGGCAGATTTTATAGATTCGTACTATAATAATACTATAAAAACAATGATGAGTTTCAAATGGTTAGTAAAGTATTGTCCCAATTCAAAGTTTTACATGTTCGTCGATGATGATATGTATGTATCTGTAAAAAATGTAGCGACATTTATTAGAAATCCAACTAATTATCCATTTTACTTAATGGAATCCAGAAAAGTGTACAGTGCACACAAAAAAAGAGAAATCAAACAGTCGGATTTAATGGATTATAATGATATCAATTTTAATAATAAAAGTGCAACATATGACTTAAAAATTAAAACGTTTTTTACGGAAGATTCAACTATTCATGAATCTACAAATAACAATAGTTGGAAAAATATGCACGAGAAACAAGAATTCAAGGTCAATAATAGAAAAGTAGAAAATGAACACTTGCTTAGATTTTTTAACAAATCTATGTCAAATAGAATAAAACGACAGCTTTTCGATTTTGAGCTGCCAGATGATATTAGACTGTTTGCAGGATTCGTATTTATGCGATCTGCGCCACATCGGCATAAATTTTCTAAATGGTACGTCACATTAAAAGAATATCCGTATCATTTATGGCCACCATATGTTACAGCCGGTGCATACATTTTGTCTAAAGAAGCTCTAATGGATTTGTACTACACCAGTTTTTACACCAAGCATTTCAGATTTGATGACATCTTTCTAGGTTTAATAGCTAAAAAAGCTGATATAGTACCGTTTCATTGCGAAGAGTTCCACTTTTATAAGAAAGCTTATACAAAACATAGTTATACATATGTTATAACATCTCATGGATATGAAGATCCAAACGAACTCTTACAAATTTGGAACGAACAGAAAGCTCTTGGAAACGCTTAAATTTATATAAATGATGCAAAAAAATTTTGCAATATGTATTATATAATTTTAGAGATGATTTCCATTTAAGAATGGAGAAGTATCACGATAACATATATTGACGAAAATATCATTATAATTGATATATATCAAGTATCAATATATGTACATATGAAGGAAGATGGAATATACAAAGTAAAATAACAATTATGTGATAACATTCAACTTATTGTAAAGAATATTCTGTACTCTTTCTAGAATAGATTTCATTCTACATTAGTCTTCATATATATATATATACATATATATCCCCTGATAAAAAATCAAATTTATCAAATTTTTAGTATACATATTAAAGCATATTTAAATGAAACAGAATAATGCTAATTGTACTTATAATTGTTACAATGAATTATTTAGTACTTATTCATTGCTCTATTTTATAAATAGGATTATTGTTCAAAAATTATTTTATTTTATTACACACACAGACTGATTAATATTATTTTTCTAAAATAATCAAATGCATAATAAAATAATTAACATATATATGTAACTTGTACAGTTAATAAATTGTGCAGAGGCTATAAAAAACTTGTATATTTTAAAAATCAATATATTTACAATTTTGTACTTTATTAATTAACAGCTATGTCTTTGTGATAATTTTTTCCATTGATAATTTAATAAATACATTTTCTAGATATATGGTCCCGCACAATTTTTTTGTCAAGTTCTATTTTATATTTTATTATCGGTACTGCTTATCAATATTGGCTTTACCTAAAGTTTGATCCAGACTCACAGCTTCTTTTTTGATCATGTTTAGCAATAATTGGGAACTCTCTAGAATCTATAATAAAACAAATATAACACTTAAAAAAATGCGAGATTAACATTTAATTTAAAATAGATCACTCAACAATAATATTACCTTTACATATGCTGCCTCAGTGTCAGCAATAGTTCTATCGTATTCGTTTCTGACCGTAATTCTTTTTGCTAAGCTATCGTTCAGTTGCGTAAGTTTACATGACATCTTCTCGATTTCGCGTTGCAAATTGTTCTTCTCTTCCTCCTGGGATTCTATCTGAGATTGAAGTTCGAATCGTCTTACCTTCATCTCTTCTAAACCTAGGAAAATAAATTTTTTTTTGTACTTGCTGAATGCAACAAGATAATACCGTTATTGGAAATATCAAGTTATAATATCGCAGAATAAAGTAATTTATGATCGTCAATATGATGTTTGAATGACAATTTCTTTTTCGGAATTAAGATACCTTTAATATTGTGGGATTGTGTAGCAAAAGAATATTTGTTTCAGGTATCTAAAATCGGATCAAACTTAAAGCAAACTTGTAAATAATGTCAAACAAGAATTTTTAGGTTAAATGAGTTACATTTGACAAGCTCCTGATTATATGTTTGCAAAGCAGCTCCGTGTTGAGACATCGTGAACCCTCCATTCACAGAAAACTTCATATAAGGCGTATATATTTAAACGCGGACAATGTCAGGCGGAACTATCGAGAACGACCGTTGTTTACCAATAACCATCAATAACGCAGAAATTTGGAACATTCGGGTGGACAACTGCTTCGGTTTTGGCGCGCGATTTCCGCTTTACGCATGCGTATCAGGAGTTATAAAAATACGAAGATTTCTCGTTCTTTTGCCGCATTATGATCTGTATTTTATATATAAAAATCTGTAGATTGTACAAAATTGAATCTATAGGAAAGACGATGATTTTTTTTTAATTCATAAAATAGTCATTTTTTTGTAGCCGATCTCTAAAATTCAATGCGATAAATGGAACAGGATAATTGAGGATAATTGAGGAAGGATTAATCCTTTGCAATTCTTCTTCTTTCGAATTTTTGGGAAAGATAACGCGATTCATGATCAACGAAATCGATATGGCGCCTACTGTAACGGAATTCATTTTGCAGATTCTGAATAGCCGAGATCAAGGCTCGGATTAACACTGGACTAGCTGCTTTCAAAACCAGTTTTCTTTTTCAGAGCTGAAGCTATATTGCATAACTACGTCTGATCGTAAAATTACTTTCGGGGCTGTGGAATATGTATTCTTGTAGATATCAGAATTATTATTATCTTGAAGATACCGCAAATCTTTATCCTTTTCTAAACAAAAAATTAATCTGTACGAAAACAAATGTAAAATATGCGATTACAACGTTCTGTTGTAATCGCATATTTTACATTTTTAATTTAACCAATAATTTATATATAGAATTATACTCTAATCCATCAGACGTATAAATATATGTTTATATTTGTATCATTTATATTTTACAAAAAGAAAAAATGCAATGAAAGCTCCATGTTTCATTTTCATTTATCGAACTGAAATGCGTTCTTTGCGTCATTTGCATTTTACATTTCACGCATTTGGACGTTTGTATTTTTGGATAACGATAATGCAACTTTTCTCTAAAATGGAAACATGAAAAGCGGATACTTTTCAAATTTCTGCCTTAGGAAAAAGCAAAAGGTTACTTAATTACAAATCTTGAAATAGAATCAGATAGACATATTTCTTGGAGACAATCGCGATCTAATTTCCGTTAATTTATTTCGCGTAGAGGAGGAGGGACGTGTTGCGTCGGATGAAGACGATCGCGGGCGGTGAGGACTAGTTAGCGCGCACACCTGAGCTCACCTTTTAAAGGCGTCAGACGGAAGCGTGTCGCGGTGGAAAAGCGCACGCCACGATAAACGTGCCTTTCGCTCGCCGCGCGGTCGCGGGACGCCCGTCGACCGTCGACGTGCATCGACCGTTCCAGCGATTTGCAGCGATTCCGATCGCGACTGCCGCGAGACAGGCGAAATTGCCGATCGCGTTGCTTCGGGACCGGGACGTATATTGTATGTCACGTCTCGAGTTTCGCGAATCCGCGCCAACGCCACCAGAATCATCGCGAGTGCTTTTCGACTGAGTGCAGGGACGATCGATTTCGAGGAGGAAGAAAAAGAAGGAGAGAAATATCAAAGGCAACGAATATTATACTCGCGTGATCGATATGTCACGGCGATCCAGGCACGTCTGCACGTTCGATCAGCGCGTCATCACGAGGAGAGAAATCACCTGCGGGTAAGGATCAATATGGGGGAACGTAATCTTTCAAGTGAATGGCAAGATACTCGGGCAAGATCATCTCGAGGGCTCAGCATTTCGAGAGCGGCCCTACTGAACGATCTCGGTCCGCACTAAAATATTTGACGCGATCGAGCGCGTGTGCACTGTGCGTCCTTGCGATCCCTCGTGATCTTGGTCCCGCGCTTTGCTCCGACATTTCTTCATTGACGTTTCCACCTCTCTTTTCTTTGTTTTTCGGGAATTTATATCATGGGATGATGATGCGCGCACAAGTCGCATGGATCTACGGCGCCTGCGCGTGTCGCAATCCGCTGCTTCGCACGCACGCTTCTCCTGCGTGCATTATTTAAAAATTGCGATTAACGCGAGAAAAACATAAAGCAGGAGTTTAATAACCGGTTGGCTGACGAGAGTGAACGTATTTTAGAGGGCGGATGACATTAATCATCGATACTGTCTGCCACACACTTTCCTATAAAGAAAATTAATGAATTCGAAGAATATTAATTAACGAATTCTAAAAAAATCGAATTTTTAGATCTGTGCCACGGAAGTTTGCCGTTCAACTTCAGAGAATGATAATTTCTCATCGTCTATTTTAATTAAATATTTATTTGTTATCTTATATCGCAAGGCTATTATATTGTAATTATGTCGAAGTGATTTCCCAAAATTTGATATCATCATTGCAATTATGAAATATTTTGTTTTTAGAATGTAATTAATTGCAGAAATATTTTTTTATATTAGAGATCAAAGACCGCAGATATTCATAGTCTATTCTTGTATTTAAGACTGTCTTAATTAATTAATTAAGTAATGTCTCAAGATACTAATTGATTCTATGATGATATCTTAAGACAGTCTTAAATACATAAGAATCGATTTGTAAATATTCCAGCCAAAAAAATGTCACGATGTCACTAAACACACATGCACATTTAATAAAGTAATTGTAATTGTGACAGATAGGATAATTTGTAAAACGAATAAGAAACTATCTTGAAAGAATCGCGAGAAAATGATGATCAACGAGAGGCAAAGAGTTATGTATGCGCATTATGTATTGATCGAAGATGTTGCACGTACATGTCCTTGCCAAGTGACATCATCGTACTAAATAAGGATTTGCCCAATGCGATGAACGCGTCGTGGGCATCACTACCTACAGTCGCAAGACAATCCCATAATGATGCACCGTTTTGCAATCTTTATGCGCAGGCAGCACTTAAAAGAACGCCACACCTTAATATAAAACGCTAAATTTATATTCAATCACGAAGGATTATCTATATAATTAGATAAAAATACATCCCAAAGCCGTTACTAAATAAAACTAAAAACGGAGATATATGAAGCAAAAAGAAGAATGTCTGTTCCTTTTAGCGACGTAAAGCATTTTTGTTGCAGGTTGACAGTGTAAATGATGCGTATGACACACAATTTTCTTTTAAAATATGCAATATATTTTAAGTAAGAATGGAAACGGATACGTTGCATCCGTGCAGAGTAAGCATAGCCATTTCATTTGCTTTTTTTTGAAAAAAAAAGTAACGACTGTAACAATTCTGATAACAATTCTGATCGATTTGTCGATAAACTGATATTTATTTTCTGTTTTAGATGAGCTAAAGAAGCTTTATTAGTTATTTGTCTTTGACACTCCTTGTGCAAGTCGATGACTGATACTTCAAAATGCATACTTCGAAATATGCTGGATATCACATTAACGGAAATCGTGATTACATTACAGATGGTGAAGAGAGCCATAGAGCTCCTTCGGACCGTACCATGTCTGAATATATCGTTGCTAACGAGCATACCACTATGGTAATTCATTTTATACTCATGATGGCAAAAACATTCTTTTAGCTTAAAGCGTATTTTATTCTACATATTAGTATAGTAAAAAGAAATCCATTATTTTTCCATTCAATTTCATGCAAAAATAATGGATTTCTTTTTACTATACCTAATATATTAGTGTACACAATAGAATGCAAAGAACGTCTTCTTATATACATATATAACGTATATTTAAATTATAATTTTTTAATTATTTTAATTAATATTTTTCTCAAATTCTCTTCTTTTATAGGTAAAACCTACAAGAAAAAATCCCACGGACAAGTACGATAGAGAAGAAGACAGAAGATCCAGAAGTGCGCATAACACTCGCGATTCGGTCCTGTCTGGATCTTCAAAGCATAGTTTGCACCCGCTTCGCAAAAGTGCTTCGCATGGCAGTATTTGTGACAATGGTTCAGATATATATGTCACCAGTGCTGCATATAGAGCTACTTCCGACATAAGGTCGGTCAGATTTATAAATGCATAGTAGCATTCAATATCCCATAAATATATCTGTAATAGAAAATATGTGTTTTGTGTTATAGTCGGGTATCACGCCGTAGTCTCGCACCAAGCTCCAGACTGGATCATAGAGCGCCTAGTCATTATAGCTACGGTTCCGGCAGGTCAGGCACTTCGACAGTGAAAACTCGTACGTCACGAAAAGGCGGTATTATCGTGGAAACTATGTCAACGCCTAATCCATTTTGCCCAAACACTAAGGGCGTCTGCTGCCTTATGTTACTTCTCAATCTTGGCTTGATTCTAGTTACTTTAGGTTTCGTTATCGTCATTCAATTTTTCCAGCCGTTAGTCGTTTGGTAAGAGTACTGTGTGATCAATTTTTATATTGCACACACGCGCGCACGATTTATAATTTATAATATATAAATATATAAAGTAATTATAATTACTTCAATTATAAAAGATAAAATTGCAAAAGTTTTATATATACAATATGTATATCGATTTGTATTTCTAATAATTAATAGTAAGGAATTGAAAGCATGATGTATAGATTACACAATTGGAATGATGTATTCTATAAAATTCTATACAAAATGCATTTTTTTAGGATCTTGGGAATAGTATTTCTTGTGTTTGGATTTTTGACACTGATCGGTAGTCTCGTGTATTGCGTACATGTGTTCAAAAATGCCAGACATCCACACGATATCAATCCAGAAGATCTATATTGGACTCATTATTGGCAAGGTCGTGTTGGTTCTACAGCACCTGAAGTTTATTATAAAGCCGAAGACAAATATCAGGATGATGGCTACAGCGATCGATACAGCAAATACTCGGGAAAGTATTACGACAGGCAAAATCAAAGATATTGATTGGAAAAATCGATCATTAATTAAAGTACTAATTCACACACATTCTACCAACTCGTAAGAGATTTGGAAAAACCAATGATGAATAAAAAACTAATCTCAGTGCAATAAAATATACTTATATGTACTTGTGCATAGATATTGTACTAACATTATTTTTCCTTTTCTAGAAAATACAAATTGTCAATGTATTTTATATTTGTTATTTGTATAATACTAATATAAATCATTTGAAAAAAAAATTTCTTTTTCTGAAAAATAACATACGGAAATTTCAGCGTTAACTTGGCAATTCACAATTTAATGAATCGATATATTAATAACTCTAATCTTCTAATAATAGATAATTCTAAGCATATATTTATATTTTATACATAAAGCATAAATATATGATGGTAATGACATTTTTTCAATAAACATGTACAATGTATTAAGCAAAAGAACATATTCGTAA